ATGGAGATTAGGATGGAGGTTTCTCAAAGAAATAAAACTAGAAATTCCATATGGCCCAGCTCTCCCCCTTCCAGGGGTCTTCCTCAAAAAGCTTAGGTTTCATACCACAGTGATACATGCATACTAACTTTCATGTCAGCACGATTCATAATAGCTAAATACTGGAAGCAGCTTGTATGCCCATCAATAGATAATTTGGATAAAGAAAATGTATTTACCTATAGTGGAATATTGCTCAGCTATTGAGACATTTTTTTTTGTTGTTGTTGTTGTTTTGAGACAGGGTCTCACTATGTAGTTCAGGCTGGCCTTGAGCTCACTATGTAGCCCAGGCTAGCCTCGAACTCATGGCAATCCTCCTGCCTCAGCCTCCCAAATGCTGGGATTACAGGCATGTGCTACCTTATTGAGACTTTTGTGGGAAAATGGATGCAACCGGAAAATAAAATGTTGAATGAAACAAATCAGACACATAAGCTTGAATACCATGTGGAATCTCTCATTTGAGTAAGGCAAAGTACAAATTCGGAGAAAAATTAAAAAGTATCGAAGGAGATAAGGGGATGGATGTCACACAGATGGGAAGGGGTCTAGGGGACCGAGGGTGAGGAGTGAGGGAGAGAGAACAGGAAAATAGGTAAAGATATGCCAGGTACAGGATCCTAATAACCTCAGTAAATATGGACATTGTATGCCATAAACATGAACTAAGATTAATAATAACAAACATGACAAGGGGGAGAGGGGAATGAGAGGGGTGGGAGTTGAGCGGGGAGGGAAGGGACAGAAAACAAGAAGAAGCTGCATTGTGCACATGTACCATCTCCCAGATACGATGGCAAAACACAGGTACTGTAAACATGCACCACTGAAAAAAAGAAAAAGAAGAACTTTACCACACACTTGTTAAAAGCAGCAAGGCATTTTATTTGTGCTATAAATTTTAGTTCACCTATATGAATTTAGATGAAAAGAAATGACCCAGTGGAATTGTGTGGATAATAAAAATAACTGAATTCTGCAGTCACCAGCTGATGCTGCAGAGGACAGTGCTCTGGTCTACATTGTTTTTTCTCCAAGATTGTAACTTTCATTGGGGGTATTTTTGGTAGGATCACATTTTTTTTAGGTCATGCAGTTTCATAATAAAGGTTGTCTTTTAAAATAGAAATTGCCTTTGGAGTCATTGTAGGGGAGCACTTCTCCTTGCTAAACCAAGGCATTCTGTCTTCCTGAGCAGATGAGGGTTTCCACGTCATTACTGTGCTGAGGCTGCCTGGTACTTTTGTGAGTGCCCTTGAAAGTGCGGGAGTCGTCCATTCGTGCAACAGCCTCTGCATCCTAGCAGGCGCAGGGACCTCTCTGGTCCTTTCCCGTGAGCCACTCTGAGGTTCTGGTCCCCTTCTGTGGTTTTTGCCTCTAGATAAGTGATCCAACTCGCTAGTGAAGTGGGATGAGCGCTGTGTGTTCCTGTTGGTTTTCCCTGGTCTGTGGGGGTAGTGGGAGGTGCGTATGTGCCCCTGCAGTAGGGGGCGCACAACACAGCCTGTAGAGTGTGTCCCTCCTCTGCCTACTATTTCAGATGAAGCCTCTGTAATCAGCAGTCTGGTGTAATTTGCCAGTATTAATTGTATTCCATTTGTATACTGAGTTGAGTTCCCCTAATCATGCAGTTTAGTGCTAAAGTTCTATTTGTCAGCTGTTGTTCAAAGGAGCAGAGGCATTTGTCAGTATTCAGTAAACATGAAGTAACCCAGAGAAATGCAAGTTTGTCTCGAGGTTGTTAAATGTAAGGCACAGGGAAGATGACTGAACAAACTAATGAACCAGCCTTACACATTAGTCATGTTATGAATTTATTGCAGGTTGATTGATTTCCATTGCTTTAAAGACCTCAGTTCCAACTTTTGTTATAGTGATCGTTGCCCTGGCATTAAGGGAAGCAAAGTCATTGAGTTGGTTTCTGGCCACAGCCAACACCTGTGGAAACTGCCTGACACCAACACTGCATTTGTGGGTGAGGGCAGCCCCAGTACCTCAGTTTAGGTCTGTCATGGTTCTAAGTTCACTATTTCCAAGTGTTTTCCAGCTGACCTCTAGGCTAGGGGAGAAGCTGCAGGACAAAAACACTTTTAATCTTTGGAGAATTTTAGTTTGGGAGACTAAATTAGAAGATGTATTAATGTGGTAGTGAGTATGCAAGGGGTAGGGGGCAGGTTGTGTTTTGTGTGCACCCTAGAAGTTTCTAGGAAATGCTTTTTAGAACAGCAAATATGGAAAGTAAAGCTAGGTTCTGAACTTGCCTCTCTACTAAAGAGGGGTCTCCCACTATTGGAAATATTCCTACCCTTGCAAACTCAATGCATTTAGATGGGTGTGCAGGAACTTCGCACTCTAAGAAAGTCGGTCTTTGCTGCTCCTCCTCCTCCCCTCACCCCGTCTTCTTCTTCGTCTTCCTGTTTCTGTCCTTCTCTGCCACTGCCACTGCCTTCTGCTTCTCTTCCTCTTCCTCCTTTTGTTTTTGAGACAGGGTCTCACTATGTAGCCCACACTCGCTTCAATCTCAACTGCAATTTTCCTGGCTCAGCCTCCTGGGTGCTGGGATTGCAGGTGTGCACTGCCATGCCCAGTTTGAAGATGTGTTGCTTCTTAATACAAATATAAATAGTCCTTGCTTAGATTTTGCAGGGTTCTTTTTTTTTTTTTTTCATTCTAGAGATTGCATGTGCAAGGAATCCTATCTTTATCCTTTTCTCCCTTTTCTTCCAACATGGAGATTTCAGTAGCAGTTCGGCTAGGGTATAGTGAACCTGTGAACATGCATCTTCTAGGTACCAAGAGTGACACGCTTATCATAACTGGTGCCAGGTTCAAGTCCCATTGCTGTTACAGCACAACCTGAATGGACCTCCCCAGTGGCCACAAAAGAGTGTAGACACTGCCATTGTTAGCTGTCTGTGTGCTTTCCAGGTACACACCAGAGATGAACTCAGCCGTCTCCGTTCTCTGAAGCACTCGAGCAGGCTTTGCGCTTGTAAGCAAGTGCTTCTCTGCTCCACATTTTGGGGCCCTGCTGTAGTGTACCTACAGTGAGCCAGATCCAGAGGCACTCGTGTTCCACCTGGCATTTAGCAGACAGCCACTGATGTTAGGGTCACTCTATCGAGACCTCTGTGCCTGGTCCCCCTAGTTAATTCTGCACCTCCTTTGATTTTGTTTTGTTTTGCAGTACTAGGGACAGAACCAAGGACCTTGTTAGGCAAGCAGCTATGCCTCCAGCTCTTTTAAGTTTTATTTTAAGACAGGATCTTGCTAAATTGCCCAGGCTCAAACTTGGCAATCCTCCTGCTGTATCCTCCCTAGTAGCTGGGATTACAGGTGGGTACCATGGTGCGTGGATCCCCTTCAGTCTCTAATCTTACAACTTTCATTTCTACTTCTGATTCCTGTGCACTGGACTCTAGCAGTTTCTCTTAGGTAAATGGCCTTGATTCTCTGTTACAATATAGCGAAACTTTGTGTTCTAACTCTATTCTAAATTTCAGTTCCCATCATTGACCGTTGACCAAGTCAGACCCTTCTGAGCAGCAGCTACTTCAACGCGATGAATTGCCCTTTTTGAATTCTCTTTCATGTGTTCTTGTTCTTTTTAGCTTAATGATTCTTTTCCTTTGCCAACCGTCCGGCTGTATATGCTATCACAATTCAGGGTATGGATGAGGATTCATTTTGACACTAAAGGTCAGACATAGCAGATGCCAAATAAACATGTATGCACTCATTTTCACGTTATTCACTGCTGATGACTGAGAATGAAAACATATTATAGAGACAGAGGTGACTTTTCTAAAAGCAATTTCTCTATGCTCAGTAGTATGGGTTCTGTGATATAATCTTATCTGATCTGTAATTGTTTAAAAGCCTCATGATGAACTGATTTCTCAGTAATGTACTGTTGGCACCAAATACATTTGTGTGTACTGCCATTAAAGAATTAATTTTTATGAGCTCTACTGGAGAATATGTTTTATTCTGTTTAAGTATTTATTTGATGTTTCCCTCCTCTGGGGGTGGTGGAAGATGGATTTACTTCCTTTTATTTATTGCTTAAAAATTCAGATTAGTGTCTACAAAATCATGTACCAGGGACATTCAGAAATTCCATGTTACCTGTTGTGATAATGTGCGGTCATGGAAATAGGTTCTTCCTGAGTGGATCTCCACCCACGCAGCCAGGAAACGATGGCTTACCACATCCATCACTTCTGTCTGTACATTATCATGTTTCAAAGGTTTTCCAATTAATCCTGTGGAAGCTAGAATCACTCCTAATTACAGTCATGTTATGCCTCTTTATTTCTTGATGTCTTGTTAATTCACATCCATCCTGCAGCAGTCTGTGACATAGCACTATTACCAGTGCTTTTGTCCTTAAAAGCCTCTTGTCTACCATTTTGACTGAGATTGATTAATTGCACTTTGTTGAAATTGATCATTTTGGATTAAAAAAAAATCCATCCTGTATGTTTTTTCTGGCTACTTTTGCATGAGTTTGCTTTTTCCCCCCAATTAATCAATCTGCCAACCCAGTTGTTTTTTCTTTTTGGCATCCTCTCTTGCTATTTCCTTTTAAAAGGACTCTATCTGGATCTCTTTATTTCCCTGCTCTCTTGTAGACAACATCTCCAGGATAAAAAGCCGATTATAAGAGGCAGTGGAATAAATTCTCCCTTAGAATCTGGCCAGATATTGCTCCCATT